GATGAGAGTCGAGGGCATCTCACCTGAGTATATGTTGGAGAAATGTTTTTTTCAGTTCCAAAATACCGCCGGTGTTTCGGGCTTAGAAAAGGGTAGGTCCCCAGTGCCATCTTCATAAATATAGAGACTCTAATCATCTGCTCATTTTAGAACTTGGCGATCTTGAAAATGAGAAATTAAACATGATTATCGAGGATGAGAGCGTTGTACGAGAGTATTACGATCTACGACAAAAGCTCGATACATATGCTAAAGACATGCGTGACGTTATCAACCACCCTAATTACTGCCTGCAATTCATGCAGCCTGGGAGATTAGTCAAGGTCAAATACCAAAACCATGACTTTGGATGGGGTGCTGTGGTTAATTATTCCAAGAGGATCCGTGGCAAGGTAAATAGTCAATCTTTACAAATTTGTCACCGTCTCTAATCATAATGATACTCTGCATAGTCTCAAACCGAAGATTATCCACCTCAAGAATCTTATGTCGTTGATGTCCTACTATGCCTCGCAGCTGATGCACCAACATCTGCCCGACCAGGCTTAGATCTCCCTCCCGGCGTCAAGCCCCCTGGACCTGGTGAAAGTGGGAAGATGGAGGTTGTTCCTGTGTTACTTTCCTGCCTCGAAGGAATTGCAGGTATCCGTATTTTTCTCCCCAAGGACATGAAGTCACAAGACCAGCGGAATACTGCAAGAAAGAACATCGATGAAGTGAAGAGACGTTTTGGCGATGGTATATCTGTGCTTGATCCTATTGAGAATATGGGTATCACAGATGAGTCTTTCAAGAATCTTCTTCGAGTATGTAATCTCCCATCATGATATTCCGATCCCATATCTGATCTTAAATTTAGAAAATCGAAGTTCTCGAATCGCGGTTACTGGGGAATCCTTTGCACAACTCTCCACGCCTTGAGGATCTTTATAACCGCTACAGCTTGAAGGTTGAAATTCAAGACAAGATCAGAGCGACAAAGAAAAAGATCACGATCGCCCACTCAATCATGCAACTAGACGAATTAAAGTACCGTAAGCGTGTATTGAGACGTCTTGGATTCATCGCCGGAGACGATGTCATTCAGATGAAAGCGAGGGTCGCTTGTGAGATTAGTACAGGAGATGAGCTCCTCCTTGCTGAACTTCTCTTTAACCGCACTTTTAACGAGCTTACACCTGAGCAAATTGCAGCTCTCTTAAGTTGCTTTGTCTTTGAAGAAAACAGCAAAACTGATGCGAAACTCCAAGATGACCTCGCAAAACCGTTTCAAGAGCTACAGTCGCAAGCCCGACTCATTGCTAAGATCTCAGCAGAGAGCAAACTCCCAGTCTCGGAGGACGAATATGTTCAAAAGTTCAAACCACAATTGATGGAAGTTGTTTATACCTGGTCGAAAGGAGCCTCGTTCGCTTCTATCTGTAAAATGACAGATGTATACGAAGGAAGCTTAATTCGCATGTTTAGGCGCCTAGAGGAATTACTGAGGCAGATGAGCCTAGCGGCGAAAGTTATGGGCAGCACTGAATTGGAAGAGAAGTTTGATCAATCGCTTGAAAAAGTTAAGAGAGGTATGCACTCGCTCTCTCTCAACAGTGTGGAGTAATGACTAACCGTGCATTAGATATCGTAAACGCAGGTTCTCTCTATCTGTAAATTTTTTAGCTTTGCGCTGTGGATTCCCTGGTGAAACACTTCGCCTTCTCGCTCGTTTGAGATGGCGCAAGTGGGGTTTGGGGAAAAAGAGGGGGGGGAGGGTCAAAATCAAACGCATTTATCTGGTGTTTATTTTCTTTACAACATGCTTTCAACGCATAATTTCTTACCCTGTAGTAGAAACATTCCCCTTCCTTTGTCTTTTGGGGTCGAAGCGTTACGGTGCGTTTCTGGGATTGCATATAGTAATTTTACCTATTGATGGCCTTTGGTATTATGCATCAAATTAAATTACGAGAACCGTGAAAAAAAAGAGAAAAAATGCAAAGTTGGGGCGATCAATCTCTTTGTATCATGGCTCATCACTCGATACTCGGCTTACACTAAGGGCCCGTTCGGCAAATGTGCTGTTTGGAAATCACAATGTTGTAAGATAGTAAGGGCCCGTTCGGTGACAACACAATATCATGATATTCGATCCTTTATCACGATATTGAAATTTTTTCGCTATATTGTATCTTGTGGTAGTGTTCTAGCAATAATATAGCAACCGAACGGGCCCTTACACATATAGATGAATATACATGTATGTACCTGCTTAACTACAATAAGTGATATACTCTAACACTTCGTTCGGCAAAACTACTATATGAATATGGCGAGGTTGAAACCTGAAAAGATTACAAGCAAATATGTGATTTTTGTGATTTGTGAATATTGTGGTTACAATTGGCGTGTTCGGCTGCAACCACAAGTTGGGACGTTAGGGTGTACTTGGTGGGTTGAGCCGCTAATTCTAATGGTGCTATTTCAAATATTTAGGTTGGAGCAGAATATTTTTTATCGTGATATTAGGCAGATAGCAGATTGAGAAAGTTGATATTTTGTGGTTGCCAGAACACTACTACTAGCATATTTTCTCAATATCACGATATTGGGCTGAATATCATGATATTGGGGTGTTGCCGAACGGAGTGTAATTTCTCTAGTACCTACATCATAGCGCCATATTGGGAGGTACAGTCGTTTCTAGGTCAACGACGAAACCGGTTCGATGGCGAATAGGCCAATCGAAGCCAACAAAAGCCAACAAAAGCGTGCCGACCCCTTTGCCTTGACTAACTATCAGCGCAAAAAGTAGCCATTCGTCATCGAGCCAGGTTCGTCGTTGACCCAGAAACGACTGTACTTGTAGTTACCATAACGATTCAGTCACACACGTACGTAATAACACTAAACTCGGGGATACAACCAATGAGATAACCCAATCTTGTAAGGCAGTGCCTGAACTGTCCTGGTGATGCACTCGCGGTAATTCAGATGTTCCTTTCAAACTTGCATGCTATGATATGTATAGTACCATATATGTAGCTACATGCACAATATACTCTATAGTACTCTACATGTACCGCAAAAATTGCCGAATATGCTGCCCCCCCATCATTAGTCACCCGAGTGTAAAATCGCTACTTGCCTCACTAAAAGGTCATACTAGAGGATCGTTGTCTCAAAATTCGAATATCCTGCCCCCTACTAAGCTGCCCCCCAATCATCAAGCCCGGGCAGGCATTTCCAATTTTTGCGGCATTAGAGCGATTTGGCCAATCCCTGTTTTTCAAGTTTTGAGCTCAAATTTTGAGGTCTTGGCGGGATTTTCACACCAAAAACTGTCGCCAAGAATTAAATATTTAGGTTCAGAAGTCGTTGGCCAAATCGCTCTATTACCTAGGTGTGTTAGCGCAATGTTACCCTGAGCCGGAAAAACGTTTTTCCGCATCCGTCTAACCTCACTCCAAGTAAGCTAGCTCACATTGAAAGCTCTCCAAAACAACCACTGACCATGTCTTCCACACGGATTGCCTGTATTGCCATCATCGGAAAAAACGTATGCAGCTGTCATTGGTTTATCTTATCTCCTCATACTCACTAACCCTCTCGTTACCTAGAACTCACCGCTCCATCTTTCACCTTTCCCCGCGACTTCAAATACCCTCAAATATCATTTCCTTACCCATGCAACCCTCGATGTATTCCAAGCTCGATTACCACTCAAGAGCAATGGTGATAGCGACTTCGGACTGCTTTATAGTGTCGACGAAGGTCTTGCAGCATATGGATGGTTGACAAATACGGGGGTTAAGATTATTGTCGTGGTAGATGTGGGAGGCGGGGGAGCTGGAACACCAGCAATGAAGGATGGGGAGCTTAAACCGGTGTGTTACCTTTTCCAAGAAAAATTCTTGGTATGAAAGGGATTTTTCGGGGCTAATTTGATAAAACAGGTATTCCGAGCATTGCAGACAGCGTACATCCAGCTCGTTTGTAATCCGTTCTACGAGAACGATGAGGCGAAACCGATAACCAGTAAACGGTTTACTGAAGAGGTTAAAAGAATTGGCGAAAACTGGACCCCAGGTTTCGCACTATAAAAACTAAAAGAGTTACGAAATAGGATTTGCGAGGGTTAACCTGGGGTTTCTTTTTTTATCGGCTTCCTTCCTTTGGGAGAAAGAGCTCTAGAGGGCGCCCGGGGTCGCCTGTAAAATTGTATAAAGTTTCCTATATAAGTTTAGTTCAATAATTATTCAGCGACTACTTAGTGCTGGCTGACGATTCTATGAATCATGTGATCCCATATTGGCATGGAGCCTTGAGTATCCAGCGCGTAGCCTTCAGAATAATACTTCATCGATTCTGATTCAGTACTTCACTACCGCATACCACTACTTCATGGATTCCGATTCAGCACTTCGACACTGATTTAGTACTTCATAGAGTCTGACTTGGTACTTTCAAGAGCCTGATTTGGCACTAATCATGGAGTATGATTCGGTCAGAAAATAGAAAATATATTATCCCAATAACAGGACATTCGGGGCCTGGCCATCTTACTGGCAACTAGCGATTTTGGACCTCACAGGGCCACTCTCGTTATACATACCATATTTTGGGCTTAGTGCACCCGATAGCGTCTTGTAGTGCCTAGTAGTGTCGAAAACACACGAAAGGATAAGTACGTATCTACTAATGTCCTCGGAAACAGAAACAATCAATTGCACCAAATGAATGACCAGTACTGCCTCGCTGAGTCCGTGGCGAATTTGATCACATGCGTGCCATGATACCTAGAGCCTTCGGTAAATGCACGTACCTAACGTACTCAATCATAACCCCAAATTAATGAACGGGGGTCTAGGTAGCTCCCCGCATTGTGCACGACTTCAATTACATGCACTGCCCCATGGTCCATCTACACTCTATCTCCACATAAGCATATTTGCGATAAGAGGCAGATCACGAGAATTCTGAGAACTCAGCCCACCACCGCACCGCAAGCTACAATTATGAATCACTACGATATGTACCCTCAAGTCCAGTCAGGAGAAGAGGAAGAGATTAATCGAGCCGTACGAATCGCCAAAGAAAAATCTATCCGGCGCAGAAAGCAAATGACGGTCGCAGCCGAATTCTGCAGCATCGTTGCCCTTGGCTCGCTCGTCATGGTGCTCCTAGGGAGCACACACGTCAATAATGTATTGGACGATATCTGGTTCATGAGGGTCAAATCCAATTCTCCGTTCCCGAAACACAACCCGCTATATAAGGATGTATTCCTGGATGGAATTGGGAATATCAATGCAGCCCAGATGCCGCACTTTTACCAGGTTGGTTTGTGGAATTATTGCGAGGGATTCGATGAGATTGGTATTACATATTGTTCAACACCGACTCCCGCACACTATTTCAACCCGGTGGAGAGTATGTTAAAAAAGGCTGTGCCTGCTAAATATGGCAAGTTTTTGACTTCCCAAGCTCGAGAAGAAGTTGTTAAAGTAGCGTGGTGTGTCGTTAATACGTCAATCCTGCCCGATATTTACAGAACCCAAGGGAATGGCTAAGGCCCTTAAAAACGCACAACGACCAAGCAAATGTATGTATGTGTGCTTTGTTCTTGGGGGAGTATTCAGTCTTATGTCTCTTGTAATGGGTAAGTCTCTAAAGATCTCAGTCAGATACGCCAGATTGCAAAGTCCATCAGTCTGACCACACATCATAACCACCGCTCAGACTGGCTCTCTGTCATGGTTTCTCGCAATTACATCTTGACATCTGTCTTTGCGTTATGTGCAGCTTGCTTCACATTGATTTCAGCGATCACTTCAAGTCAATTATTCATAAAGTTCTGGCTCTGGCTTGGATCAACACCTGACCTTAAAGTCTACGCTGAGTTGGGGGTTAAAATGTACAGCTGTACTTGGATGTCTTTTATTTTCTCTTCAATTGCGTTTGTATTACATGTCAAGGTTTCGGCACACGAAAGTGCTGGGAAGCCAGGATGGAAGTTTGAACAATGTCATGGTGAGGAACATTTATCTGCAGTATCGCGGGATTTCTAGCAAGTATATAGTAGATATAATATATACTAAATCGGGGTCGCTCTAACCTGCACCAAACATGGTGCAATTGATATTATGGAGGAATTTGCGATTCATTAACTCTAGTTAGGCTAGTAAATATTATACCGTATTACGTGCGCACATATTCGTTATTGGACGAAATATCCAAAGCAATGAAACAGGACCCAAGTCATTGACCTTAATAACTACATGTAAGCCACGATCCACGAAGAGGGATTAGGAAAGGCTTAACTAAGATATTCATCAATCACTCAAGGATTGCTACTATTTACAAACACTTCGTTTTCTCATAAACACGTCCACATATATGAATCTACACCTATCTTTATTACAAAGATATAAAGTAACAGAAAAGATGAAGCACAGTCCCTAGAAGTAGTAATGAAAAGAAGTGGAGGAAGATCTGAGGAACATTAACGATAGAAACCGAGAACCCCATCCATAGATGAAGGAAAGAAGGGACACCATTCTGTATAATATACGAGAACTGCAAAGCCCATAGTAGAAGAAGGTATCAAAGTAAAACCTATAGTTGCACGGCAGAAAAAAAAAGTTCGCGCCAGGGACTCGTTGTGTGGATATCTGCTCTTTTTTACAGAAAACGTAGCTGACCCAAACAAATCGTCATCTAATGCTATCAGTCGCAACTCTTCGCCTCCTTCGCACTATGGTTTTGATGAAGTAGCATCGTCAACATCTGTCTCCTGTTTTTTGTCGTCTCCTCTTTCGCTTGCGCCCCCGCCCGGTGGTACATCCGGGATTGATTCACCGCGTTTTCCCTTGAGCATTCGTACTATAGGTTTTACGCCTATTTCAGGCACAGATTCAGGCCCTTTATCCTGAACTTTGGGTTCCTGGATAACGCGCTTCTGATCAACTGTCTTCACCCCCCCAACCTGTTTATCGATAAAGTTCCGTTGTTGCTCAATCGTTCTCCTCCGAATCTCTTCGGAGGATTGAATAGCCTCCTGAACAGTTTCCTTAGGACTCGGATCCTCCACTAGAGTCGTCTTTCCACCAACAGGGCGAAATTGCGGTGGGATCTGCGGCGTAACAGGCTTTAACTGCCTTCTTTTTTTCCCTACATATCGAATATGCGTCTTGTGGAATACCAAGCTCCCCAAGGTCTCCGGGTCAAAGCTAGCAATGATGTCTATACCCACCACCAAATTGTTGCCGGAGATCTGCACAATCCCATCGATCACAACATGGCCTCTCGGTGGGGGTGGCGGTTTCAATGTTCTCTGGAGAATCCTGTGGGTAACACCCAGGCTTTGTTTGACAGTGGTTGTACCCATTACCACCAAATCACCCATTGAATCCACTGTTTTCCCACTAGCTTTTAGATTTTGGAGCCAGTCTAATGTGGCCTGTGCGGAAAGGTAGAGAGAGTTGAATACCCATGAGGGGTAAAGGGTAGTGGAGAGACGGTGCATTGTGTTTTGGGGAACGGGGCGCGATACCCATTCATATTTTAAATTTGAAAGGCGGAGGGGATGTGACGCCCCTTCGCTTTGGTCCGAAGAATCTCGCTCTGCGGGTGATATAAGTAATCCTTTCCGTATGTATTCCGGGGGTGGGCCAACTCTAGCAATTGATTCGTGTAAGTTCAAATTTGAGGAAGTAGGAGGAGACTGTATGGCTCACGGGTAATGATAATATAGTATCGATCCTTCGGCTTTCACATCGCCTCCAAATTTGGACCTATTATTGGCTTCAAGATTCTTCACTAGGATTTCGATTACCTTTGCTGTATCTCGGGTTAGCTGGCTAAAGAACTTGACTCAACATAGAGCTCGACCTCCAAAACTGGAAGTGGGCACTTACTTCTGGCAGCTAGTGCCTTTTTTGTATCTTTGTTGAATTTTAAAAACGCCTGAAGCTCGGGATCCGTAAGTTCATATCTCCTCCTAGGTCCCTCCTCTACAAATCCCATAGGTATAAATAACGGTTCTTCCCATCCACTACCGAATGTTTGCAATATGGTGTTTGCCGCAATATGACAGCCACTCAAGAGTAGTAAACCCCGAAAGAGGCCGTTAAACCTCTTATCTTGGGGAATGAACCGAACCCGGTAGAGCTTATATCTATCCGACTGCGCGGAGATTCTGAATGGAATCCGAGAGCGGGAAAGGAAATTCCTAAGGTTTCTGAACATGACGAGCTTGATGAAGCGGCGTATGCCGCCGGAATAAGTGCCCAACGAGCGATTTGAAGTCGCGGATAGAAATCAATACGAGACCTCCCTGAACCCACAAATCCAGGGAAAATATACAGTTGGGATGACTGTCGAAAGAAATGAGTGGCGATATTGCGAAGAAGGTGGGGAAGAAATTATTACAAGGCAGCGCCAGGGCGCGCAGAGTTCACAAGTCCCACTAATGTAATTAGGAGTGCGCCGAGTATGCGTATACGCGGGTACAGTGTTGCTTAAGGGAGCCGCAACTTCAACACCAAGATGTTCTATTCCCTACATCACCAATACTATAACGATTGTTCAACAACTTTACTCCCTGGGCCTGATTTTGATTGACTTAATATTACCACCATCAATGAAAATGTGGCTTCTTACAGGTCTCGCGGCTTCCAGCCTTGTAACCCTTGCTGCTTCCAAGTTAAATAACATCGCCGCCCAACTGTCACCCCAAGAGACACGGCTCCTATTAGCGGAGCGTCTAGGTGTCTCTAGATTCCATGAATTGAACCTCCAAGGGACAAACGTTCATAAGACATACCCAGATATGTCTCTCTTTGAGGAGGAAGAAAGAGAGGCGACGGGCATGTTCATAGAAAGCTCACGAAAAGGGAACCTTATTCTTTCATTGGCAGGCATGATAGACAATCAATGTACGCGATCACACATTCATAACGAGATATACGACTTTCGGCGCGGTTTAGGGCAATTCTTATATCATATCTGACAATCTTGTCGTGTAGTGGACCCTGAACTATCTTCAACCATTATTATTGACGACTCATCAAACCCAAATGAGGACACACCTACAGCCTCATCCGTCGCGAATCTACTCTCATGCCTTGCTACCGAAAAGGCCGAGCTTTCTGGGCTCCATAAAAATACATTCTCGAAGATTTCTACAGGCGGGCTGTGTGTATCTATTCCCAAACTAGAGGTAAAAATATGAACACATTAATTATCTTTTTATGCGTAATTAACTCACATTGTTCTTTTGCACAGGAACTTGCAAAGTTCGAAGCTGTGCTCAACAAAGATGGTTTTCCAACAAGACTACCTGAAGACCTTCAGCAACTTACATCGACTCTCGACCCGACTGAAGATTCTCAATCAAGATTTCTGGCCGAGTTTACTATGATCCGAAGGTTTATGGAGGTTGTTCTTCCTGGCTTACCCGAAGATGGAATGGCTTACTGCCATGCTCCCCAGTTGGAGGCCTTGATCGCTACAAAGGGTACCAAATCCGCCGAGGCTAAGGTAGCAGAGGCGCTCTATAGTTACCTGCTCCGACACACTCCATCGTCCATAAAAAGCACTATTCTCCTCCTTCCCCAATCTAGTGACGCTTCACACGCTAAACGGGAGGAGAAGCCTCTTTCCATCATCCAACCCTCACCAAGCTCTAGCTCCAGTCTCGACTCTAACTTCGACACCACGCCGAATTCAGCAAAACAAATTCTTGGTTCTGGCCTCATTGCGCGCTGCCATTCTACAAAAGATGCCTGTGAATCGTCTACTGCCAATTGTTCTGGTCGTGGTACCTGTGCTAAGGCCGTTCAAGCGGGTTCCAATTCTTGCTGGACTTGTTCATGTAATCCACCTGTTCGCAAAGATGGTGTTAAAACAACTACATGGGCAGGAGCTGCATGCCAGAAAAAGGATATCAGTGTTCCATTCAATATGTTTTTGGTGTTTGGCATTGTCATTACCTTCGTTCTTATTGCCGCTATCAACCTGCTATACAGCATTGGGGATGAACCGCTACCAAGTGTGTTGAGTGCTGGTGTTGTGCCGGCTAAACATAACTAGCCCTTCCAGGACTTTTGTAAGTTTAAAGATGATCTGCAATTCTTAGGTTTCTTTATTTTCTTTGCGCTTGATGTTAGGAATGGCTTGTTTGGGGAACACCGTTGGAATATTTTGCTGTTTTGTGTATTTTCTCTTTTTCCTGACTGCTTTTCCCGCTGCAATTTAGCGAGTCAGTGGACCTCAGTTACTAGAATGAAAACCAGAAATACGAGTGAAAGAGTATTTCAAGTACTGAGGTTTGGCTGGCGATTTTCTGATCGGGAAGGTGGTGGAACCTCTTTCAGAAGCTGTATTGCGTATCATGAATATTATATCCCGCCTCAATGTACTCGCATATCAAGTATGTTTTTGCGCAACCAGCAAAACATATAGAATCTCGAGAGCTTTCCCATCTCCCCTGAAATTATGCATCTTTTATCTAGACACCTGAAAGACTCTACAGGCCACTTTTAGGCCATATCCATAAAGAACGAGGCGAAGGGTGTCTTAAAAGTCCTTTTATTGCTTTCCTCTCCACCTTTACCAGTATCTCAATTAGGCCAAGAATTTGAAGCATGAATCTCCCTAATCGAAATTATACTATACTTGGTCGTTGCAGTTTTGGTATAACTATGGGACTTTTTATGAGTTGTTGAAAACCTCGATTTTTGGTGTGTTTTGCTGGTTGGGCAATACATAGTTGACAAGCGAGTAGTTTGCCATGATATCCAAAGCTCAACGCTATTACTTATCATATAAAAAGGCAACTTAATCATTGACACAACAGAGTTCTTGACTAATAAAGCCCCGATTATATTAAAGGCTTCCTAATAATATAAGAACGTCGTTTGAGGGCGCTGTATCCTTAAGTATGTACTTCGGACGCGTTAGCTCTCCGGACATTAAATCAGGTTTACGTGTATATATACTCCAAGAACTCGATACTGGCGTTAAGTGCAGCGTAGAAGTACTAGGGTGTAGCGAAAAGTGATCAGAATCTGATAAGACAAATACACGTATTCACCGCAGCATTCACTTATCAGATTCTGATCACTTACCCTCAACACCCGGTACATAGTAATCATTACAGGGTGCCAAACCTTGGCTTCGGGCGGTATTGTATAATACATTGATACGATTTTTATCACTCCTTTACCAAACTTATACGCGGCATCGAAATATAAACCCCTCGCCTCGCCTCGGCCCATCAACCGTGGTACGTAAATAATAAATTAATATGTATTTATAAGAGTTGAAACAGCCCGGAGATATGAATATCCGAATATAAACACTATACCGGAAGCTAATCCTTCTGAATATTGTATACAGTTTATGTACATGTGTGTGGTGCGTTACTAGTGTGTACATGTAGCTACATGTACAGTCGCATTCGAAAAGTTTTAGCACCTCCGGGCCAAACTCAAGAGGCAGTCCTTTCTGCTTTGCAATTCTCATATTCGAGACCGTTGTCAGAGAGCTGCAATGTCTCTATTTCGGTCATACCTGTCAATAAGCTGAGTATGCGCGAGTGCTATGGTTGTTGGTGGGCTACAATTCATGAACAACTCAATATAGTAGGGTGCCAGTACTTTTCGAATGCGGCTGTACATACATCAAGTGCTACATAATGTATATATCCAGCCTACTCAACCGCCCAACCTATCATTGCCAACTTTATCCGCTCAGCTATCACGAGAGACCCTTAAGGTTTATGTGGCTACATACATATACATATATATATAAGAGCGGCTAATTATATCAAGATCTAGACATATATATAATATATAAGTTAGACCGATTTTGCTAAAAAGATATATTCTAATCCACCCTATGCCTCCAATCATATCGTAGCCAGAGAAGTGGACCCCGAACATACAAGCATAGCTAGCCAAACTACTGTGGACCAGCACAGGCATCCTGAAATCCTCAAGCTAAGATCTGCAGTGAACTCCAGGGCCAAGAGGGAAGATGAGATGAACAGAAAGATATAAGAGAGTTATCGCCATATAGATGGGATCCAGGGATGGGGCAATCTAATGAGAGGCGAATGAATCAAGGCCCTGTTTGGACGGACGTGGTATATAAATTGATCTGTTGCATGGCATCACGACCAAATGTAAGCTATGTATACATGCTCTGAGATAAAACTATCCTAATATAAAAGTATTAGGGTAGGATTACAATACTATTATTAGGTAGAGAAAATATATATGAAGATATATCTCAAGGAGTATTTGTTGAAACCATGGTTTTTCTGAGGTTTTCATGGTATCAAAACCAATAACTTGGGCCATCCGAACACTCAAATACTACGGTGATTCGTACACCTTAAGCTTCCTGTTTGGGTTTAATACCATGATATTGACGTCCGTCCGAATAGGGCCTAAATTTATAATGAAATTGTTCTACAAATAGCTGTGGTTATGATTAAGTAATGGCCGGCACTGTGTATTGATCAAGGCTGATCCGTGGCCGGAGACGGTTTAAATTGTTTATTATGTTTTCATTTCACATAAGTACATATATGTACATGTAGTTAGTAGCAATTATAGGTATGGGATGAAGAGAGAGGGAAGAGGTTAAACTACATATATGTACTGTACATATCATAGCCTTCGAATTGCATATAATAAATGAATTGACAACGCTAACAACATCCAGTCATCGATTACTCGAAGCATATCACACATCACACCGAGTGATCCCTCATGAATACAAGATAAATAAGATATCACGGGATTTACGCTTAGCTCTTGATATCTCCTATCACTATTGTTCATAATATATAATTAATTTTTGTTAAACTATGTAGACTCTAAAATCAATACTGCTGCAGTTACCTTTACTATGCATAGAAGGAGTTTTGTGTACTTGCCGATCCATTTGTATGAAAGCTAGTTGCAACGCTTTCGGTGAAAACAGTCATGATCATGCCTTTTCTTTACTCTTTTAGAACGGCCGGCCACAGTAAGACTCTTACACGATAGTTCCAGGCATAGGATATATTAGCTATAATTATGCTAATTTGAATTCAGACGCAACTAATCCTCAGACATTAGAAGTGAGGCGCCCAGTCTATGTGCCTCCTACAAGCTTTGGGTAATTATTAAAGTGAAAAATAGGTACATGGCAAGCCTCAACTAGCTAATCAATCTAGTGAATGTGATTTAGAGAATGAGAGGCGAACTGCGTATATTGAGAAGGGCTTCGAAGTTCTCAGGTGCGGTTTGCAACTCGAAATTAGGCCTTGAGTTGAGCCCAAAGGCCCGTACCGACCAAGATCTGGATATCCTTAATTTAATTCAAATTTAGAAGCCCCCTTTGATTTTGAGGCCACAGAAAATCACTTGCCCACATTTTATTCATGGTCTTTTTTGCTAGATCACGCATCAGCTATTGCGACTGGGACTCGGGCCAAGCCCGGCCCTTGTCGGTCCGGCTGCAGATCTTTTTAGTAAAATCATGACTTAATACCTTTCGGGATTAGCTCACGAGTCAAAGCTTGTTCTTTTTGGTATCCAGCAGAATAAGACTTCAAGGTAACCGTTACCCGCAACTAGCAATTTTCAAAATTGACGGCTGGCCTAAAGTATCTAATGAGGGCTTATCGCTTATCTAACTGCGAATCCCTTACATCTCTCCACACTGACTAATCACTACATCCGTCGTAGGCCGGTCTAATATCACCCTAACGTTCTCTACCTTCCGAACCACGTCCATTCCATCGATAACTTTCCCGAATGCAACGTATTTCCCATCCAAGAACGGGGCTGGCTTGGACGTTATAAAAAACTGACAGCCGTTTGTATTTGGTCCGGAGCTAAGTGGCCCGTGTTAGTTGGTTGTTGGGGTTTTGGGGGTTTCTTCCACGCACTTTGCCATAGCAAGAATCCCAGGAACATCATGTTTAACCTGAAACCCCTCGTCAGGAAACCGATCCGAGCCGTAGATCGACGCGGCCCCGGAGCCATCATTGTTCAGAAAATCTCCGCCTTGAATCCTGTGGGCAGTCAGCTACATGTAGATATCAGTGTAATGTTCGAATCATGTGATTGTTAGAATCAATCATTGACAGGGCTGAGCCGATTGTGGTAGCTACTATAGGCATAGCTAGTAGGTTGAGAATAAGGACGCGAATATCTGTATCATAGCCCGCCTTGCCCTGCTAACCATATCGTATGAGGGGAAATTATATTGTCCATACATGAAGTCTTTAATCTACAATCGTTAGCCCAATCCAACGGCCACTATGGTTTCTCCCGTTTTTGTGTTGTTCGACAGATATGTACTCAACCTCATTCGGGTTCCTTACCACACGATGAAACTTGGAACCCTTGTACCCCAAGGGTCTTCCTCCACGGCCTTTAGTTTCTCCTGTACAGAATTGTCTGAAATTCTCTGCAGTCTTGGGAACGATATCCTGGAATAGCTCCATCTTGATCCTGCCGAGTGGCTCACCTAGTATTCGTCAATTCGAGTGTACAGCTAGAAGAAGAGAAGGAGGAAATAGGGAGAAGGCTTACCGCCAATGGCGATGTCAAAAAAGACAACGGGATTTGGTGATGTTGCTGGTGCGGCCGCCATTTTGAGTAACTAATTGCAGCTCAGAATAGTTGAACGTTGGAGTCGACCTTGTGCGTGTGTTTATTCTTTGAGATGAGGCTCGGCGGACGTCAATAAACAACAGGGGGCACCTAGCACGTGATATGACATAAATTCACACCCCTGTCAAATCGATGATGACACGCCGCCATGTGGATGCCGACCTGCCGATTTTTGATCTAAACCCCACGTATTCACCGCAGCATTCACTTATCAGATTCTGATCACACCCGGTACCCTATTCAATCTCGAGATCTAGACTACATAACCTACTCTAGCTACATTTTAATTATCATTATACAATAACGCCATTGGCCGATTGACCAAACCACTCCATGGGTGCTGGCATATGGTTTGCCCTTGTGTCATATCCCTTCGTCTGTATTCAGGACTTGTGGCAATTCGTGGCTCACCGCGCAAAATCCACAGACTAGCTGGAAGCATCGGTCGGCGGTGCAAAACTGACCCACTTGTCACGCAAAATTGGCCTAAAAAGTAGTGGTGTATACCACCTATCGTTAAAATTGTGTCTATCACCACGCCGTTTCTTCGGCAAAAAGTTGTGAATCGCGGGAACAGACGAAGGGATGCTTAGGTATTTTGCATCTTGACAAAACCTTCAGTTCTGCTTTCCGTGCTCACCTCAGACATGTGCGATGTGTTTCATGCAGGGCAGAGCGAACTAGCTCTATCCCTTAAACCGTCAGGCAGAATTCCAATGCCAGCTACTAGCCTTAAATAGTAGGTATTCTCAGTTCAACGCGGTGTGTGTGCATGCTCACACGCTAGTGGAGGTTCGAGGCTGTTCTCATAGCTTTCACTTACGGCGTTCACAAGATCATGATTACCAACTACAGCTAGTAGCTGGCATTGTGATTTGGCCTGACGGTTTAAGGGATAGAGTACGGTACTGTACTTAGAGTCTCTGGCATATATTAATACCCAACTCTAAAATCAATAAAATCATAAAATCCCAGCTTCGCTCGCGGTAATATTGCTGGGTGACAAAAGTAACCGTGATTTTACATTGCAACCAGATTTTGTATGGGAATGCGTCTTGAAACAAGTATCCCTTGAACCGTCAGGCCGGACTATAATTAGCGGAACCTAATGCAAAATAGAAATCATGATAGGTAAATGCAAGATTTATATGTCTGTCTGTCTTGCAACATATAATTCATCACACATAAGCTCTGTGATGGTTTCTGTCATTGCTGCTCCTTTTTTTTTTTTTTTTATATATCAGTGTTTCATTTATTTCTGGGTACAAGAATATCGCATAGAGTTTAGGCTATGGCGTAAACAACACCCCTTCCCTACTTTACCGTCGAAAGAAAGTAAATAAAGTAAACAAAGGAAAGATATAAACATGAAGCAATAACTGAAAAAGAAACTCTGACATTCCCTCCGCAAAAAAACAGACTTAAAAATTCGGTCGTCCCGTTCCTTGGGCCATATACTTTCGTATCAGCTATGTAATTTTATCTCATGACATAGAGAACAGAGGAGAAACAATTTGATTGTAATTGTTGTTGTGTTTTGTGGGCCTTTGCGGCGTGCCGCTGTTTATGTTATGGAAGGGTCCAAGCTTGATGGGATCGAGGTGAGGTCGGAGTCGGATAAGAGGTCGTATGATGGAGATTTATTGGGGCCGTCTGAGGGGGGGAACCCTGTCCTGGTGGCTCTGATGTATGAGGAGAGGGCTGCGAGGGAGGTGGCAGGTTACTAGAGGTCATCTAGTGATTTAGCGAACGGTATGTGGGCGGCCCTTTAGGGGGTGCATTCAGGGCAGTGGAGAATGGCGTACTCAAGGGCTTCGTCTTTGAGGAGGCACCTGGGGCAGGTGGGGGTAAGGTCTAGATATATCTATGAGAGGTGAGCGGTGAGGTAGCTTTTCTGGGCGCGCATCTGGCATATGCGGCCCGTGATGAAGCGATCTAGGGAGAGGTGGGGGTGGGTCGAGTGTTGATCTCGAAGGTGTAGTAGTCTGGAAGGGGGCTGTTTCGTCAGAGCTGAAGGGTATCTTTCTTAATGGAGAGCCCTGAGCCTGGGTGGATGGTGTTGGGGTCTTGGCTGAATGTAGGGGAGTTGGTGAGGAGGGAATTACAGAGGTGGTCGATGGGGAGGCGGACTACACCTCTTCAGTTGGAATTCCAATTGACAGGTGGGTTGGGTTTTATGTGCAGGAGATGTCGGTGGGAGGGTTCTCTGTAGTTGGAGAATGTGTAGAAGGTTACCGGAATGCGTGCAGTGACGGGATTATAGGCCGATGATGCTGCTTGAATTCGGGCGGCGTATTGTAAGAGGAGGGATAGGATGTATAAAGCGAGAGGTGCGAAGGATGCCTCTGCCTGTAGTACTGCGAGTGGTGTAGACCTGAAGCAGTTCGTCACCTATTTGAGGACGGAGTGCCAGGTGGTCTCGAGGCGTTTAAGGGCTCGTACCGTAGGTACGAAGACTGATGCGCCATAGGTGAGCATTATGAGTATTGCCATGACTGCTAGTCTTCGGTAGTTGAGTGGTTTGAGGACCTTGCCCACTAAGGTGAACCCTCGTATGATTGCGAAGGAAGCTTGGGCGGAGAAGCATCTCTTGGAGAAGTGGTTGAAGGTGTTGAGATTGTCCGAAAGCTAGAGTCACAGCCATCTTATTTCTTGCTTGGGTGGGAGGGTGAGGCGGTTGAGGGTGATAGGGAGGTGTGAAGGAGTGCATCAGCAAACCTGCAGCCTTCGACAGATGCCCGAGGCGCTCAGGGCGCTCAGGGCGTTCGGTAGGTAAACTACCTCTCCAGAGATACGGTCATGCTCCTGGCGCAGTCTGGTGCGCATCTTTCCGCCCCGGCGTACCCTAGTTCGCCCCGGTGCGCACTAGTCCTCCGACCCCACCTGGTCACTGAGCGCGAGCGCTCAGCGCTACCCCGACGCTAGTCCCCTCGCCTGAGAGCGCCAGTTGGGCGTTCGTATCTCCTGACTTTCCCTGAATACACTATGACTGCTCCTGGAGCACTCCTGACTGCTCCTGGAGCACTCCCGCAGCTCCTGGAGTACTCCGACTGCTCCAGCAGCGCCTGGCATCGGGTCCTTGAACCTGGCGCACCCACGACGCCCTGTTCTCTCCAAGCATACCCTTACGATCTCTACTGTTTACAGAGTACTCGAGACTGTGATCCCCTGTCTATTACTAAATACTAACGACAATACCTCCTTGAAATTCCTTACTGGATATAATACAAAAAATGAATCGGAACAAATCTCCAGCTATCCTCGACGCACTCGGGAGTGTTCTCCCCATGCATTTGCGAGTATTCTCCCTAAGCACTCGCGAGTGTTCTAGACATCTTCCTCCCCACCCCCTTCGCAATCCCCCACTACTAGTAGTTCTTGCTCCTCTTCTTCCTCCTCTCCCTCCTCTTCACTGTCAATGCCGCGAAGTTGGACATGAATCACCTCGTCTTGGCCGTTGTCAAAACTTGAAGGACCTTCTGGAGCACCCCTGAGTACTTTCCGAGCATCTTGGAATGCGGCAAGATCCGCAGCCAAAGCTTCATCATCCTCGCTAAACCCATCCTCCGGTATCACCTCAATGTTATTCCCTTCTTTTCTCGTATCTATCAAGGCAAGTATTTAGAATCGAACACCCATTGCCGGCATAGTAGCATACCTTTTCTCGAAGGTTATCCTTGATTACCTCCAAGGTTGCCTCCTGATTCTGTCTACTCCTCCCCTTCCATGTGTTACTCATCCTGTTGAACGTTTCTGCTCGAGTTGGAATGTCAGCTCGGTAACCCAGTATAGCTCTGAGAGAATCCGTCACTGCTCCCAGAGCATTCGGGAGTCCGCAGAGTTCTGAGAGCATCTGTCACTGATCTCAAAGCACCCGTCATACAAGTGAGGGCATTGGGCAATACTTACTAACAATGCTCTCATTCTGCGACTGAAAATAATCAGGCTTGACTTAAGTCCCTGTCGACCACGCCCGAATGCCGTGCCAGATCACCGTCGATATCAAGCAAATGAGTATAGGGGTTATCCGCTCTAGGAATTTGGGGTCCCTAACCCCTCGCATCCTGACGCCATGAAAGTATAACGTGGGTCTATAGACGATGGACTATAGTGACAAAGAATGGAACCGAGACGTAGACATAGTAGAAAATGTTCGTGACTATGGACTATGGGACGGCTCTGTTTGATCTGACAACCAAACTGAACCCTATGACGTAGCGTAGGACAAGAATAATATTCGTGGAGTAGAATACAGAGAGAGAGAGAATCTTATATTGCTTAGAAGCCGAAGCTTATCGCACACCTAACTACCCGACTACAACCTCCACCGACTAACCCGAAGACAAAAACAAAGTACAAAAACTAACTACCGCAGCTACGAGAACTACGTACATGATAAGAAAAACAGCGCACGAAGAGGGCGCGAATAACAAGTGGTACAGGTAAGCAGAATCTAAGCGACAACAAAGAAACCTTCCCGCAGTAAGAAAGAGCCCCAAACTTCTCCGTCAACTACATATAAGCGAGCACAATCCTAAACATGGCGTTCAATCGAAACGATATCATTACCAACGTTCCCGGTGTCATATCTGTGGACGAACCTTAACAGGACTGGGAAACCACGCGCACGAAGGCAGGAGAGGCCAACCGCAACAGCGTCAGGTGTGAAAGCGAGGGGGGGTGGGTCGAATGTGGGTCCTCGGGCATCTGGTTGTCAGGCAGCGAGGAATTGAGGAGTGGTGACCGGTAGGTCAGGTAAGAATGGGTGGGGTCGTCGGTCCCAGGAGCAACGGCTAAAGACTGTGCCCGAGTCGTATTTAAAGTGGTGTCCTCTGGAGGGGACATGCAAAAGGGTTGAGTCTGAGACTCGGTATGTATGGGGGTCGCAATCGAAAGTGCCGACCGTATTGTATTGAGGGGTGGTCTCGGAGACCGGTTGGGTTGGGGTGAGGGGAGCGGGCCGCCTCGGATAAGAATGGGTTGCCTGGTTAAGGCCGATAGAGAGGGGTAAGGTCACGGGACCTCGGGTAAAAAATTTGACGATAGTTTTGCGACCGAAGGGTCGCTAACTTCGCGGGCTGTCGAGCGCTTTGGCAGTAGGTTCTCGCTGACTGGAGATTACTGACAGTGTGCGTACCCGACGTGTGGGATCACTCGTGCGATGAGTGAAGATAAGGAGGGGCGAAGACGGCTTTCGAGAGTAGCCGTTATTTTGGCGAGGGGTGAACGGTGGACGCATCCCGTGAGGGCACCGAACGAACAAAGAAGGGGGGTGTCGAGCGAGGGAAGTTCAGGGACCGAAGCAATTCGAGAATCAGTATAACTCCATCTCGGGGGGGAAGAAATCCATCACGAGCCAGAGGCGAGCGAATGAATACAGAAGAAGAAGAAGAAGAAACTTATATTGCTTAGAAGCCGAAGCTTATCGCACACCTAACTACCCGACTACAACCTCCACCGACTAACCCGAAAACAAAAACGAAGTACAAAAACTAACTACCGCAGCTACGAGAACTACGTACATAAACAGAGAAAACAGCGCACGAAGAGGGCGCGAATAACAAGTAGTACAGGTAAGCAGAATCTAAGCGACAACAAAGAAACCTTCCCGTAGTAAATAAATAAGAACCCCAAACTTCTCCGTCAACTGCATTAGCGAGCACAATCCTAAACGTAGTGTTCAACCGAAACGATATCATTACCAACGTTCCCGGTGTCATATCTGTGGACGAACCTTAACAGGACTGGGAAACCACGCGCACGAAGGCAGGAGAGGCCAACCGCAACAGCGTCAGGTGTGAAAGCGAGGGGGGGTGGGTCAAATGTGGGTCCTCGAGCTTCTGGTTGTCAGGCAGCGAGGAATTGAGGAGTGGTGACCGGTTGGTCAAGTAAGGAATGGGTGGGGTCGTCGGTCCCTGGAGCAACGGCTAAAGACTGTACCCGAGTCATGTTTGAAGTGGTGTCCTCTGGAGGGGACATGCAAAAGGGTTGAGTCTGAGACTCAGTATGTATGGGGGTCGCAATCGAAAGTGCCGACCGTGTTGTGTTGAGGGTGGTCTCGGAGACCGGTTGGGTTGGGGTGAGGGGAGCTTGCCGCCTCGGGTAAAAAGGGTGGCCTGGTTAAGGCCGATAAAGAGGGGTAAGGTCACGGGACCTCGGGTAAAAATTTGACGATAGTTTCGCGACCGAGAGGTCGCTAACTTCGCGGGCTGTCGAGCGCTTTGGCAATAGGTTCTCGCTGACTGGAGATTACTGACAGTGTGCGTACCCGACGTTTGGGATCACTCGTGCGATGAGCGAAAGTAAGGAGGGGGAACGACCGTCTGGCGGTGGCCGTCGTTTTGGCGAGGGGTGAACGGAGGATGCATCCCGTGAGGGCACCGAACGAACAAAGAATGGGGGGTGTCGAGCGAGGGAAGTTCAGGGACCGAAGCAATTCGAGAATCAGTATAACTCCGTCTCGGGGGGAAAGAAATCCATCGCGAGCCAGAGGCGAGCGAATGAATGCAGAGAGAGAGAGAGAGAGAATCTTATATTGCATAGAAGCCGAAGCTTATCGCACACCTAACTACCCGACTACAACCTCCACCGACTAACCCGAAAGCAAAAACGAAGTACAAAAACTAACTACCGCAGCTACAAGAACTGCGTACATAAATAAAACAAAACAGCGCACGAAGAGGGCGCAAATAACAAGTGGTACAGGTAAGCAGAATCCAAGCGACAACAAAGAAACCTTCCCGTAGTAAATAAATAAGAACCCCAAACTTCTCCGTCAACTGCATTAGCGAGCACAATCCTATACGTAGTGTTCAATCGAAACGATATCATTACCAACGTTCCCGGTGTCATATCTGTGGACGAACCTTAACAGGACTGGGAAACCACGCGCACGAAGGCAGGAGAGGCCAACCGCAACAGCGTCAGGTGTGAAAGCGAGGGGGGGTGGGTCGAATGTAGGTCCTCGGGCTTCTGGTTGTCAGGCAGCGAGGAATTGAGGAGTGGTGACCGGTAGGTCAAGTAAGGAGTGGGTGGGGTCGTCGGTCCCTGGAGCAACGGCTAAAGACTGTGCCCGAGTCGTATTTAAAGTGGTGTCCTCTGGAGGGGACATGCAAAAAGGGTTGAGTCGGAGACTCAGTATGTATGGGGGGTCGCAATCGAAAGTGCCGACCGTGTTGTATTGAGGGGTGGTCTCGGAGACCGGTTGGGTTGGGGTGAGGGGAGCGGGCCGCCTCGGATAAAAGTGGGTGGCCTGGTTAGGGCCGATAAAGAGGGGTAAGGTCATGGGACCTCGGGTAAAAAATTTGACGATAGTTTCGCGACCGTAAGGTCGCTAACTTCGCGGGCTGTCGAGCGCTTTGGCAGTAGGTTCTCGCTGACTAGAGATTACTGACAGTGTGCGTACCCGACGTGTGGGATCACTCGTGCGATGAGTGAAAGTAGAGAGGGGCGAAGGCGGCTTTCGAAAGTAGCCGCTGGTTTGGCGAGGGGTGAACGGTGGACGCGACCCGTGAGGGCACCGAACGAACAAAGAATGGGGGGTGTCGAGCGAGGGAAGTTCAGGGACCGAAGCAATTCGAGAATCAGTATAACTCCATCTCGGGGGGAAGAAATCCTACCGCGAGCCAGAGGCGAGCGGGTAGAATGCAGAGGTTGCGTAAAGGAAGAAGGAAAGAGAGAAAACAAATAAAGACACAAGACAACGCCCCCTTATATATCCAGCCATAGTCCAATGATGACTAATACCTCCACGTAACAGAAACTAAAAGAACATAATAGAAATCCCAATTACAAATCTTAATCCTACTGCACAATACCTCCTCTTCCCGTTCCGATTTATCACCTAACCGAAATCCACAGTTTCCGTTACAGACCACGCCCCCCTCTAAGACCTACCTCCTGGTAGGCTTAGGCTTCCCTGGATAACGCTCATGGAATCGTTTGACGATATCAGGTGAATGCTGAAGGTCCGATAGTGGTTGCCAGGAGGCCTCATCATATCCCATATATCGTACCAAATACTCAAACCTTCCTCTTCGTTTCCTCGAATCCAAAATATCTTCGACTTCCTA